TTCCTTTTTTTTTTTTTTTTCTCCCCTTCCCTTTTTCATCCTTCCCAGCAAACCAACCGCGGTTGACAAGCTCTCCTCTTGTTTCTGCGATAATCAGCAAAATTTCATCGACTCGGTCGACACCGGTCTTTCGATTTTAGTCGACCAGACCAAGAGCAGTTGGTCAACTCGGCTTCATTGGGACTTTGTCAAAATGGCTTTGTATCCATTGAGCACTATTGTATATTTGACAATTTGTTATTTTGTATTGTCTTTGGAGATGCTATACTAACATTTACGATTAGAGATGCTCTTAGATTTGTTTTATTTGTAAATGTGGAAAATACAAATTTTCTTGCACTTTTTTTTTTTCTTTTATTTATTTATTTTTGTACTCAGTTTAACTTAGGATGGCATTATTATTGGCTTCAAATGTATGATTGTGTGGTTTTGCCAAGTTATACTAATTTAATCGGACTTTTTAATTTTTCGTCCATTTAATAAAATTTTGAAATTGTTATTTAATTTTTAAAACATTCCATTTGTGTTGAGTTGCTAGGGTTGATCCTGCCTAGATTTTACTCCTAACATGCAAGAATGATGGGCGGCGGATGGGTGATTTTGAATTTTTTGCTACCAAACAAGACTATCCCACATCGGGAATAGCCAGTTGGTCTGGTGTGCTATTACTCCAACTGGGGCTTGCTTTTTGAAGGCGAGTTCGTGTTGGCTCTGTGGTTTCAAAAAAAGCTCAATTGTTATGGGCCGGAAATAACGAGCTCTCACGCGCCTGTCTCATAATTGGGCCATATTTTTAGCCCATTCCTTCCATGTGGATTTTGTGAAAAAATGAGTTATAAACTTTCTCATTCAATGATTCGGTTCTTGAACGCACATTTGTTTATTTATCATGTAATCGGGCGGTTAATGCGGGTTTATCTAAGTTGATTATACTTTTTTTTTCTAAAATTTCTTTGACAAAATTTTTGATTAACTTTTTGCTATTAATTATATGTAAAATAATTTAAACTAAGAAATGATACATTTAATTTTTATTTTTGATTATCACTTTTATTTATTAATTAAGTTGCACTGAACAATTGTGTCTTGTTTCATTTTTAGAGCTCATGTTTGGATTCTGAATGTTCAAAATATAATATTTGGTTTAAAATATAAGTTATGAATTATATATGGTCTTGATATAATATTTTTTATTTTTTTTTTTTGATTTTAGGATCTTTAGGTTTAGGGTTTAATTTTTTAAAATTAATTTTTTTTATTTTAGGGCCTTAGGGATTAGAAGTTCATAGGTCTTTATTATTAACTTTTCTATAATATATATAATATATTTTTCTTTAGGTTTAAAAACATAGGTCCACCAACATAAGAGGAAAAAAAATTAATGGTGAAATGTTGCGTTTTTACGGAAACAGCCAGAGCAGTGGAAGGGGTGAATGACACTGACTAAGGAAAAGATCAATGCGGACGTTCTCGAAAAAATGCCGCCAATCAGGGTGAGTCCGCGCGCGTTTGAGGCTGAGCCTAGTCCATACGAGGCTTCCCGCCGTCTGGTATAGTTGAGCTATGAGGGAGTTTTTGAATTTTATTATTTATTCTATTTTTATTTATTTTTTTATTTTTCTGAAGTATGCACATTTCATCTCTGGCTTGCCGAGATTAATAGAGGGAGCGGAGGGGAGGGGGGAGAGCAGCAATTGATAAAGTAGGGGGAGGTTGAGTCAGAGGTAGGGAGGAGAGGGGCACTTATATGCACGCTGAGATGCCAGTCCTCGAACTATTGACACCACCACCATTAACAACAGAATGCACCAGTAAACTGGGTACATCTACGGATTTGCACACACGGAGTTACACCACCAGTACCGTGATACACCCAAGCCTGAACCACACCAAGACTCCAACACAACACTACACCTATCCCACCAATACCACCACCGCACACACTTAATACTCCTCCAACACCCCACACTGTACCACACGCACGCGCTCCTCCACCATCCAAACCACCACCCACCGCACAACCATCTTCAACCTCACCAACGCATCTCCTATATCACACCAAATACCCTGCCACACCTCAGACTATACACCACCACACCTCCCTATTCCACACCACCACCACCACACCACTCAGCTTGGGGGGTGGAGTGAGGGGATGAGGGGGGAGTGACGTGTAGTGACGGGAGGGAGTGAGGGGTGATGAGTGAGGGGAGTGACGGGAGCGGGAGGGGAGTGACAGGTGAGTGAACGTGAGGGAGAGGGGAGGGGAGGAGAGTGACGGGAGATGACGTGAGGGGAGTGACGGTGTGACGTTGAGGGGAGGGGAGGGAGTGAGGTGAGAGTGACGCGGGGGGAGTACGCGGTGTGAGGGAGTACGTTGAGGGGAGTACGGGTGTGAACGTGTGGGAGGGGAGTGGGAGGAGCGGTGACGGGAGAGACGTGATGGGAGTTGCGGTGTGAGTGAGGAGAGTGACGTGAGGGTGGGAGGGACGTGAGGAGGAGTGGAGTGGTACGGGAGTGACGTGAGGGGAGAGTGAACGTGCAGTGACGTGAGGAGAGTGAGGGAGGGGAGGGGAGTGACGGGTGTGGGAGGGGAGTGACGAAGGAAGATTGAGAGAGGGGTGAGTTGAGGGACGTGACGCATGTGACGTGAGGGGGTAAGGGTGAGACTGAGGGGAGGGGAGTGGCAGGGAGAGAGAGTGGCAGTGACGGGAGTGACTGAGGGGAGTGAGGGCAGTAGTGACTGAGTGGGTGACGTGGTGACGTGAGGGCAGTGACAGAGTGAGCGTGAAGGAGGGACGTGAGTGAGTGCGTGAGTGGTGCGTGGGAAGTGAGTGCAGTTAGTGGGGGAGGGGAGTGGGAGTGAGGCGGTGAGTTGGGAGTGACGGGAGTGACGTGAGGGGAGTGACGGGAGTGAGTGAGTGAGTGACGGAGTGACGTGGAGAGTGACGCTGAGTGACGAGTGTGAGGGGTGATGATGATGACGTGAGTGGAGTGACGTGAGGGGAAGTGACGTGCGAAGTGACGTGCTGGAGGGGAGTGAGTGGGAGGTGGACGTGAGGGCAGTGACGGGGACGTGACGTGAGTGGGAGTGACGTAGGAGTGTGACGTGGTACGTAGGAGACCTGGTGGATGTACGTGGAGGGAGTGACGGGTGTGACGTGTGGGGAGTGCAGCGGGGGGGGGTGCAGAGTTGACGTGGAGGAGGACGGTGACGTATGATCGGTGTGACGGTGGACGTGACGGGTCGGTGCGTGAGTCGGGTAGTGACGGTGTGACGTGAGCGGTGTGAAGGGCTGTACGTGTCTCTGGACGTGTGTGAACGGGCGGAGTACGGTGCGGCCGTACTGAGTGAGGGAGGGAGGGAGAGGAGGGGGGGGGGGGCGGGGGGGGGGGTTGGGGGGTTGGGGTGGGTCGGGCGGGGGCGGCGGGGAGCGAGTTGGCGGGGGCGGGGCGGGGGGGTTGGGGGGTTTGGGCTTGGGGTGGGGGGGCTGGGGGGTTTGGGGAAGCATACACATTGCAGAAGGCGCATCAAGGTGATTAAGATGCGTTATTTCCTTTGATGATCCTTTCAGTGTGTTGATGCACATACGCGGCAACACTTATTCAAGACGCACAGCCCTCTTCATAATCATTGTTTTCTAATATTGTGATTTTATATTTTAATTGCGTTTACATTTTAGATCATTTATTAAGACATTGAAACTTAATTTGCAAGACTCTGTCTACTGCAAATTACTTGTCTGAGAACAGTTCTTTTTATAACACATCAGGTTTGCGTATTCATAGACGTGCCAGATCTTGTCCTGGTAATTAATGTTGTAGCACATTGTGGCGCTGCTTCTCTTTTGTTTTTTTTCTTTTTCTAAATCTCTTTTCTCTTTGCTGTAAGGTAATTGAAGGATGTAGGATTGCTCAGTCAGGAAAATATGACAGATTCTGGGAGGTAAGAATAAAATAAGGTGTTTTTCCTGAAGATTAAAGAATTAGCAAGCACACGACGCTTAACTTTCGCTTGATAGATGCTATGGTTTGTCTTGTTGACGGACAGATAGATATCCTCCTTGCAAGACTCAAATCAAGTTAGTTCAACGGTGGCATTCACGATGGATACCATCATTCTATGACACGTGAGCAGTCAGAGTGGCATGTTTTTTTTTGGATTGCGATGGAAGAATATTATTGAACAGAGTAACAAAACACAAGAAAATATTTTTTGTTGGTTTTTCTCGTGGGAATTTATATTTTATATTTGTTATACTTTTGATTTCAACAGATTTTTGATCCATAAAACCTATTTTGGTCTTCATTCTTTTTTCCGAGCTATTAAATTGATAGAAATCGACATAATTTATACGAAACCTTACGACTTATGGCGTTGGTGGTCTAATCTTAAATTCTTACAAGGACTTGAAACCTTCCCCCCCCCCCCTTTTTTAAATTTAAGTACTATCTTTGTCTTTAGATCGGCAAATTTTCATTAGTTCACTTGTTATTTGATTTTTTTATTTTATTTGATTTTTTATTATTATCCTTCAACGTTGTGAAAGTATTTTTTGTGTGCCTGGGTGTGTAGTTCTGTTTCTCCCTGTTATTCTTACACCCAAGTAATTAGAGCTTCCTTGGGGAAAACATTGAAATGCTCCTGCATATTCATCCAATGTTCTGTCAGATGTTGGGGAATGATCTGTCTTTGCATGCATTTTTTGGGTTGATTTTCTATTTGTTAAGAAAATGCATAATGATTTTCAGGCATTAGCAACTTTTGTTGTGTGTACATGGGGTATAAATCTTCTATAGCTTTGCCAGAGTCCATTGATTTTATGTTCACTTTTCTTTTATACCTTTCATTAATCTGTCACTCATGTTTAGCATTGTTTGTTTCATAGAATGTTTAGTTTTTCCCAGTTTCATATCTTTCAAGTTTTTGAACTAATTAGTTTGAAGTTGTAATCCTTCTAATGCTTTTTTGACATTTAATTGAAAAATTAAATGAACAGGCTCTTGATATTGATGGCATGGATATGGAAATTGACCTCTCTAACCTTGGAACGGTTAATACAATGTTTGCAGCATTATTCAGGTTTTTCGTTTTCCTGAAATTTAGCAATGTTTTATTACTGTGGCTTGTATTAGTTACTTAGTTACTCTTTCATTTGTTTATAGCAAGCTAGGTGTCCCTATCAAGACTACTATTTCTGCTAATGTTCTTGAAGAAGCTTTAAGCGGGACTGTCACGGTCAGACCTCTTCCAATTGGGACATCAGTTAGTGGAAAGGTGCGTACTCGGTTTGTGTGTGGGATAATCCATAGTTGGTAAGTTATACTCTCTTTCACTACTGTTAAGTTTTTCTGCAGGTAGAAAAGCAATGTGCCCACTTCTTTGGTGTAACTATCAGTGACGAGCAAGCTGAGTCAGGAATTGTAGTTAGAGTTACTTCTGCTGCACAAAGCAAATTTAAGGTATATATAGTACCATTTGCACTGACTAACTTGTGTGCATTTTATGTTATGGTAATCTCTCCCAGAGTGTTACCTGCATTATGCAAAAATCATAATTGCCTTTATGGTATTTACAGCTTCTTTATTTCGAACAAGATGTTAATGGTGGATATGGTTTGGCTTTACAGGTATTGTACATGTCTATCTTTCAATTTTTTTCTCTCATTATGTAGCAATTCTCCATTATAAGTTGCAACTAGTTCCATTTGCTGTATTTTTCACTCAATATTCATGTTATATATTGAAAAAATAAATTGAAGAAAAATATAATATTTTTTTAATGTGATATTTTTGCTTTACTAGTATATATTTGAAGTATATGTTCCTCGCAACATGGAAGGGAGGGAAGGAGATACCACTTAAAGCTAAAAGCTGGTGGTGGTTGTTAACTGTTTTTGAGACTGACTTGATGTAAGAAGTTCACTTGCTTTTACGGTTGTTAGAAATGCTATCCAGATATATGATGAAAAGTAAGATTTTACGATCCATAAAAGCCAGATGACCCAAATCAATCCAAATTGCACAAATAATTACACAGCTGTAGTAGCTTTATGCTAGAATGTAAATCATATCAGACTGGAAACACGATCCTAATCCTAACTCTATGGATCTGTATCTTAAGTTCTCATATTTATGTACTAAACTCAGTAAACCTTTGGCCCAATTAGTTGAGGTTGGTACATAGATCCATTTCCTCCAGTTGGCTTGATTAGATGTCATATCCTTGGTTAAGATGATAGATAATGTTAGAGCCAGATTGGTGCGTAGGCCAGGTTTCAGATAGTGTGCTTCACTTTTTTGGTGTGTGCATGTGCTGGTGTACATGCCCATGTGTCATTTACATAATAAAAATAAGATATTGGTAAGATTGTTTACTTACTCTAGATGATATATTAGTACGTATATATATAGATGTGCAGAGACGTCTTTTGCAATGCTTTTCCTTTGAACTTTTGATGTCAATACTAATAATACAGAGAAAATGTTAAATCTTTTCATAATTTGTAAGTATTTATTGTATTCTTATGTAATAATTCCCTTATGAAACTAAGGGGAAAATGTTTATTCTATTATTTAAGAGTAAAATAGCCTTGTCCTGGAATCCTTGACATGAAAATTTTATGGATTTAGCTTTTACATTGAATGCTGAATGCACAGTACATGACACAAGTCATGAATTGGAGCCATGTCCTGGAGTCCTTGACATAAGAATTAGATGAATCCGAAATGTAGACATGTACCTGTACCCAATGCTCATACCTAAGTCCATTTAACACAGCCTATAATGCGTGCATGTGCTTATGCCCATGCCCATGCCTTTGTGTGCGCACTATGGTTGTGATGAACATGCTTAAAACCTTTGAGCCTTCGAATGGATAGCTCTAGCTTGATCCCACTTCCCACACTCCCATCCCACTTCCTCCTGCTTCATGCTTCTATTTATTGGATGATTTGTCCACAGTTACCCATTGTAATAGATGTATTTGGATAGTTTGAACTAGATGGGCAGTAGAAACAATTTTCTCGCCTACATCTAGCCCCTAAGAAGCACAGACATGACATGAATACGCTCAAATGACAATTTAAAAAAAATGTAGGGCACAACATGTGGGGTAGATAAATAAAATATGTAATTTTATATAAATATTATGTCATATATATGAATATATCATTCAAAGATAATATAAAAAAATGCTACATAACAATAATTCTTATAAATCTATGTTGTTTTTCTTTTATCGTGGTATCCTAATTATTTTGTTGAAACTTATAATTAGTTTCACACATTTTCAATGGACACGTGTGTTCCCCAAGTGTTTGAAGTATGTATAGATCTTAAAAAAAAGAAAAGAAAAGAAAAGAAAAGAAAAAAAAAAACTCTAATAAGACAAGCATGTTAGGAAGTGTCTGACATGGACACAACCCAGACACGCCACCTTCTTAGAAGTGTTCGTGCTTTGTAGTCAAGCCCTTCCCACTTAAACTTGACTCTAACTCCCCTCAACGTTTGATTTCTCTAAAATGAGAATTCTTGGATGCTGAGACCCAATTTTATGATCTATTTCCTCTGCTTCGCTCAATTTAAATCTCCAATATGCATCCAACATTCTATCTATTTGTATTGAAATTAAGAACCTTTGCCGATTTCTTACATATGCCAGCAGGCTGAGTTACATTTATTAAATAGGTAATAACTTCTTTCTTTTTCTGGAAAATAGTATAGATAAATGAGGCATAAGTTGTGAGCGATACAAATGGTGGTGTTCATGTTCTGGATTTTTGTTTTTAACAATTCTGCTTCTTGTTGTATTGGGAACTATTTTGAAAATCTTTACATCCATGAGCTAATGGTGACCCAACTTGTTTCATCGAAAGTATTTTGTTGTTGGTTTTTAACTATATTTTCCTTCAGCATTTAATAATCTTTCAAGCGACCTCTTGTGGCTTAATTTGTTAAGACATTAGATCTCATGTTTTCATACAGGAAGATAGTGAGAAGACTGGCAAAGTGACATCCGCAGGGATGTATTTCTTACATTTTCAAGTGTACAGAATGGATTCAACTGTGAATGCAGTATGCAGTATGTGTGTTCAATCATCACTTTCCATTTTTCTCTGAAAAGGTTTCACACTATCAATGGCTTATTATGTCATTGTGGTGGTGGTTTAGTTGGCAATGGCAAAGGACCCAGAAGCTGCTTTCTTCAAAAAGGTTGGAAGGCCTTCAACCATGTGAAGTTTCACAATTAAAAAGCTGGCACTCACATATTCGCCGTCTATGGTCTGAACAGCTTTAAGCTGCTTATTTGTCCTTTCTTTTTCTGGTGCCACTAGTATAATATAAATTGCTTGTGCATAGAGGAATAGTCTTTATACTTCTACATGATTTGCACAGGCGATAACTTCTTCAAAAACTGCTTCTTATACGATTGAGGCTCTTTGTGCAAAGTCATATGAGGATACAACAAATAAGCTTAAGGATGTTGAGGCTCAGATTTTGAGGAAGAGAATTGAGCTACGGCAATTTGAGACAGAATACAGAAAGGTAATGGCACCTGACTATCTAGCGATGGTTTTTTTATTGGTTTTTGGCACTACGTGCATGTTTTATCTTTCACGTGTGAGTGTCTTGTAGGCATTGGCACGCTTTCAAGAGTGACCAATAGATACACCCAGGAAAGGCTGTCCTGTAAGTTTTGTTCTCTCTTACCTCATCATTCTTATAGAATTTGTTGCTTAACAACTTAGCACTGATTTCTTCCCTATTGTCTCAATCCTTCTGTGAAACGAACATTCCCATGACCACCTTTGTGTGCACACTGAAAGATATTGGATTTTCCTACGTATTTCATTTTTAATCCGTTGTTTAATGTTGTTTCATTCACTTTTTGGTGGCTCTTTGGTAATCTAAAAAACCTGATGCATTTGGGAGGTTGTTTAAAAAAGTTGATTTTTTTTTTTAGTGGGAAAGTTGAGTGGGTCCTTACCTTTTTAGTTGATGACAAACAGGCTTGTGTTAGCCAAAAGGCTAGTAAGTTACTTTTTTAGCCAAAAGTTATGTCCCTTCTTATAATCGTAAATGATGTAGAAAATTCTGTGATATGTTTTGTTTTGTAAACATTGAATTTGAGTGTTTTTACCCTCTCATAATTATATAGAACTCTAGTTACTTTGTTTTCATCTTATCGTAGCCATGATCTTGTTTCTGGAACAATATTTTTTTTTGGTGATTCTGGAAACAGGTTGATGAGTTTGCTGAAACAGCAAGACACCTATCCAGTCTTCGTTCACCGTAACCAGGTCGGTCAAATGCAACTTTAGTGGGGGTGGCACTCATGTTAGTAATGGAAGTAGTGTAGTAAAGTTTCCGGTGAAGATTTCAAGGCTGAGAGCCCCGGAGAAGACGGAAGCTCGGACGGAAAGGATAAATCATCCAAAAGAAATGGTTCAATCTTAACCTAAAAGGGTCTGATAAGAAGTTTGGGTTAAAAGGGTTGTGCTTATATAGTCCTGCATTGTTTCAAGGTTTGACGTTGCCTTTCTTTGTTCAATTTCATTTCTTCCTTGTGGATCCCCAAAGTTGTTCTTTACAGTTTATTATAGTCGCATTTCGATCAAACATAGCGAATGATTTGTGTGTGCATCTATCTTTGTTTTTTGATTTTTTTTTTTTTTCACTTGAAATGAATTGCCTGTTAGCCTCCTAGTTGATGTAGAAGCTAGAACATAGTTTTGATTATGTAATATAGATTTTATTCTTGGAAAGTTCGTTGTAATTGTGAATTCATTGCTCTCCATATTTGTCTGATTAGGTGTCTTGAATCTGCAATTTGAGCAGAGAGTTGAACGGGTGTCAATTAATTCAAACCACAAAAGAGATTGCAAATGTTTGTAGTTGAATTTTCATCAAGTTAATCTTATAAGTTGTCAGGTCATGAATCTCATGAAGTGTAGTATAGATAACTGTATTCGACATTAGCCCCTAGAGGTCTGTTTATGTGGTTGGGCTGCTGAATAGCCATGCCAATTCTCCAAATTCTCTTTTACGGGTTTGTTTTATTGTGAACATGTGCATGTGATGTTCTTAATCGATAGATGTCTCAGAAAGAGGACAAATGAGATTGATTTTAATCTCTCCACTCAACTGAACCAAAGTGAATTGCTTTTATGCAAGGCTTTGAGCATCATGTCAATATGATTGTTTCTGTGTGACTAAGATATATGAGGCATAAGTTGTGAGAGATACAATGGTGGTGTTCATGTTCTGGATTTTTGTTTTTGAAATTCTGCTTCTTTGGTTGTATTGGGGAACTATTTTGAAAATCTTTACAATCCATGAGCTAATGGTGACCAACTTGTTTCATCAAAGTATTTTGTTGTTGGTTTTTAACGTATATTTTCCTTCAGCATTTAATAATCTTTCAATCGACCTCTTTGTGGCTTAATTTGTTAAGACATTAGATCTCACGTTTTCATACAGGAAGGATAGTGAGAAGACTGGCAAAGTGACATCGCAGGGATGTATTTCTTACTTTTTCAAGTGTACAGAATGGATTCACTGTGAATGCAGTATGTGTGTCAAGTCATCACCTTTCCATTTTTCTCTGAAAAGGTTTTCACACTATCATGGCTTATTATGTCATTGTGGTGGTTTAGTTT